TTGTAAAAAAATCGGCTAGCTAACGTGTCCAGCCTCTGAAGGGCAGAGTTGGTGCCTGATGACTGCCCAAAGTTGGGATCTTTTGTCTGGGCCATCACATGCACCTTTCACACTGAAGGAAGCTCTCAACTGGTTGACAACCACAAATGCTCTTCAACTGAAGTCTCTAAAGCACAGAAGTCATAGTCATTTCCTGTTTGAGAGGCTTAGATGAACAAGCGAGTTTTTGCCATACCACCAACGGAGCTAGTTATACTTCCTGTTGGAGGATTCTGTGTTAATGAAGAAGTAAATACATCAGGCCCTTTGCTCAACACCCAAAACAGTGGAGAAAAACAAAAAGACACTCTGAAGTTCCAAAGGCCATCACAGGGAGAATGTATTGATCCTCACTGAGAGATAACCTGTGAATACTACCTTGTAGGAATGTTTTACTTATTCTCGAAAATACAAAGTGACATTTTAAGATATTGATCATATCATTTGATGAGACTATGATGTAGGCTACATCATTTATTTGTATTTATTTATTTATTTTTAAATAAAATGACAGTGTAATCAGTTAAAATATAAATCAAACGTGTCTGGCTATTTCATTATTTTTTTTTATTGCTGTTGCTGTTGTGTCATGCGCTCTATAAAACCGTTTAACTTTAATAGGTTACAACTCAGTCCTGCCTAATGTAATTATTAATGTAATGTTTTTTTTTCCAGCAGGATGAAAACAAATACCCGCGTGGTCAGTGCTTTCCTTAGCATATGAATTTACTATGACTTACTCCAGAGAATATAGCCTAATAAAAACAAGCCTGCACACAAACAAAGCAAACGAAACCAAGAAAATAATTGAGAAGGCCGTAATGTGTTAATGTGTGGCGCCATCAAGCGGAGAACAGACGAAATAAACATCAGTGATGAAACTTAGAAATTCTTAGTACTGTATTTTAGCAAAACATCTAGGCATATCTATTTATTGGCCAACTTATTCAAATTGACTTGATTAAATCGTATATTTTAAACAGATGCTACGACAAATTGCTACGACAAATTGACACTACCATTGCATCAATATTTGTTTAGTATTAAAGTTTAAATAAAAACAAGCCTGCACACAAACAAAGCAAACGAAACCAAGAAAATAATTGAGAAGGCCGTAATGTGTTAGTGTGTGGCGCCATCAAGCGGAGAACAGACGAAATAAACACCAGTGATGAAACGTAGAAATTCTTAGTACTGTATTTTAGCAAAACATCTAGGCATATCTATTTATTGGCCAACTTATTCAAATTGACTTGATTAAATCGTATATTTTAAACAGATGCTACGACAAATTGCTACGACAAATTGACACTACCATTGCATCAATATTTGTTTAGTATTAAAGTTTAAATACATTTAAAAAAATAATTTATAAAGTGCGGCAGCCTCTTATTATTAGTCATCGGAATAAGAACCCGGATGGAAACATTGGTTTGTTGCTATGAGTCCGCGCGCTCCGGAAGACTCTATTTATTTCAGAGTGGGTAATTATGGCCAGTCACAATTTTAATGATAATTATGGTCACTGACCACATGCCTATTAATCTACTATTTAGAAATCAATATTTGTTTAGTATTAAAGTTTAAATACATTTAAAAAAATAATTTATAAAGTGCGGCTGTATTTTATGTAGGCCAACTGTGATTTTAGTTCTTTTAGTTGGGATCTATAGGCCTACACATGCTTGAAATTGGGTTTTAAATAGGTTTCAGTGTTATGTTCATAAAATAACATCGAAAAGAAGACAATATGATTATTTATTACTTTAGAAATAGGAAATATATCAGATTTATTAGTAGCCTCTTATTATTAGTCATCGGAATAAGAACCCGGATGGAAACATTGGTTTGTTGCTATGAGTCCGCGCGCTCCGGAAGACTCTATTTATTTCAGAGTGGGTAATTATGGCCAGTCACAATTTTAATGATAATTATGGTCACTGACCACATGCCTATTAATCTACTATTTAGAAATAAACAATAATTTTATAGAATCTATAGGAAATACCAATTGACAAATTGTGGTTGATATGCTTTATCAGGGGTTTGAGTCTTTTCTCAATGCTTAATCCATGAAAAGGTATTTTTCATTACCAGTGCCAGAAAACTGGAACAATTATGCCTTACAGTTGTCATGCAATTGGCATACAGATTTGGAACAACTTCAGGGTGAGTAACATTTTTGGTTGACTATCCCTTTAAGGGTAACTTAAGGTACTAATATGCACCCTTTAGGGGTAGAAGGGGCACAAAGGGTGCTGCCCCAGTGACAAGCTACAATTTTTGTAATGGAAATCTTGGAATAGTTTAAGCAGTCGTTTATTTTGGTAATCGACCACTTATTTGGGCAATTAAGTAACCTTTTTTTTTTTAAATTAATATTTGGATGAATAAAGTATCAATAGTAAG